CCCCTACCTAGTCATACCCCGACATATGTATACCCCCCCCCCCCCCCCTAACCCTATAATGCATCCGCTCGCGTGCGCTCGCGTGAGTGCTACCGCATGACGTGCGTGCGTGCGTGCGTGCGTGCGTGCGTGCGTGCGTGCGTGAAACTTATACTGCTGTCATTGGTGTTAGTATTGAGTAAGTCATTATTATATCATTGTTTTTGCTACTTAGATAATAACATTGTTTATGCTGTTTAGATACCATTGTCTCCTACATTGTATTTGCATTACTCCTTGCGTTTATATCTGCTTGTTTATTCCTTTCATAGTCCATTGTCTATTGACAGTAGAATTAATTTTATTCAAAAATCATATAAAAACAACAAAAATTTGACAATCAAACTTTTTTTTTATCTTTCAAAAGATTTGCAACTTAAGCACAAAAAAGAGTATCAAATAAATTTATGTGCATGTTTGGTGAGAAGATTGAAACTAACAAAGGATTAGATAGTTAGAAATGATTTTTATTGTAGAGATTATTATTAATTGACATTAAACATTTTGCCCAGAAAGCATAATTGCAGTACAACAAGCTAGTGAGCATGAATGCATGGAGTACAAACTCTTCTTGAATAATGTGATTGCCATATCATACTTAAAATAATTATTGAGAAATATATTATTATTATATTTAATATTAATTAACATCACTGGGTAATTGTAGCATTCTCCAGAACATATATATTAAAGTTGTTATGTTGTCCGACACCAGATGGCAGGCCGATATCACATGCTTGTATTATTGAGCGGTGATGCACTCTAACCCTTCAGCGGCCTGTCCACACATACTCCCCGGCAATTTTCATCCGTCCTGAAAATAAATCGTATATACAGGTAACAAGTTGACAACCAGGTTTAAATTACTCGCATATCCAATTAAAAACTGCTAATTACACGTCAACTAATTGCGCTTATCTACAGTAATATGTATAATGCTGTGATATAGTATAAATTGTGAATGTACAAAATACTGTTTCCTGACATTAAAGAGACAACACATCCAGCAAACACAACGCCACGACACTGAGCAAATCGGAATCTATTCGTTATTGAATCATCGGCTGTCATGGTTTAGAAACGCTTGCGTGACCCTTACGTGACCTTTGCGTGACCTGACGTCACGTAGCGTCATGAACATATCAATTGTAGATGTGTTTGTGTTAGTATGTGTGCTAGTGGTTGCCTAGTGTACTTACTTGCATACGGTGCCTGGTCCACACCGCGTAAAAAAGCATGGGTTTATGTGGCATGGAGGTTTAGGGTCACACGTGTGACCGCAGCAGCCAACCTCTCTGTGAAACAAGTGAGCATTCCTAGTGTTAGTGACAGTTATCGTGTCTGCGTTTTCATGTCGATTTAATATTGCCTGTATTATTATCACGTTGCTAAATACGCTATTATTTATTGGTTCCTGGTCTAGCTTACTTCCCTACAACTATGAATATCTTCTCTTGTCTCCCTTCTATGCTGCTTGCTATCAGTATAAGTGTGAGCATGGTCTATGTTATATATCACCATGTATACTAAATCCGCGGGGAGACATGGGCCTGAACAATTTATACACACACACGCACGACGCACAGACGACACGCACGCACACAACACACACACAACACACACACACACATCCACAATATATATATATATAGTATATATATTTATCATGCGTGCGTGCGTGCGTGCGGTGCATGCGTGCGTGGCGTGGTGCGTGTGCATGTACGAGCGTGCGTGTCGTGGAAGCACCTGGTTGTTTATGATCTGGGTTCCACCTCGTTATATATATATAGGGCGGGCTGTGACAGCTGTGAGTGGCTGACTGTGACATAGTTTACCCGCTGCGCACATCCCCTTCCCCCATCATCCTTACATCCTGACAACACCCGGATGCGGGAACTTATCAAGTCTGTCGTGCAGGTAATATATTAGATCATGTTTCATAGAGAGCATGAATAGCAGTGTGTTGTCAATGGCGGTCGTGTTGTTGTCGTCGTCGTTATCGTGTCAACGCCGCAGGCCACACTACAAACCAGCACATCCGCAATCGACAAACGTATAGTTAATGGGTCGTATATGCAGTCACGCGTCGCCGCAGAATTTCTGAGAAATAGCGGAGATTAAGCTCTGTATATATCTAATAGCTCTGTCTATAAGTTAGATAGGTGTGAGCACGTGAGGAGCACGTGATCGACATTCTGTGGTCGTCCCGGACAGAGACTACGGCGCTAGCATGCTGACACACACGCGCACAAATTACCAGCATATTGTTGAATTCTTGGGAAATCGCGGAGTAAACGGAAGCTTTCTATGAAACTGTTGCGGTGGGTGGGTGTATGATTGCGCTCATACGAGAGATTTATTAGTTTCCTGGGACAGTGAGATTGCTATCTATGTTGTCCAGAATACGATGCAGGTAATAAAATTACCTTGCATTTCCTAGCATTGACCTCAAGTCACAGCGCTCTCTCAGCCAACTTTTCCCGGGAGCAGTTTCCTCGCCCGTCCCCTGCTCACCCCTGGACCTCACTAGCTAAACGCCACGAAGCTTTTAAATCAGCAGCTTGTGTGACCAAGGGTCCATTGTTTCTTATGTATAAAACAACACGTGTTTTGTTGCAGTTCATTGGCACTGATTTTGCAGGAATTGCGGTTTTTTTCCATAACATTTTTTTAGCCAAATTCAGGGCATACGTTTTCCCACATCCATCGCACAAGGTTAGAAAAGATTTGCAGACTTGCATAGGTTATAACCTGCTCTAAGTCATATATAGTCACAGGGTTCTCAAAGAGCACTTATAGCCTGGCGGCCCACCTCTAAATATCATAGGCCGCTATGCCTGACAATTAGACTAAAAAATCCTAAAACTAGGCACCGTAAAGCAGCCCGCCACTGCATAATGAAAGCTTGGAGAACCCTGAGTCATTGACGTGTGCTACGCTTCCAAATATGATGCTGTATAATATAACGCGTGCGTGGCCGGGCCAACAGCGTGCGTGCCCCGTGCGCGGTCTGCTCGTGCGCTGCTTGCATGTGTGCCGTCGCGTGCGGTGCGTGCTCGCTGCGCGAGGCGTTGCCCGTTGCTTGCGGCGTGCGTGCGTGTCGTGCCGTGCGTGCGGGCCGTGCGGTGGCTGTGCAGCAGCGCGGGGTGTACATTTACTACTAAGTGCAAAACAAATAAATAATAGAAGCTAAATCACATAATTTAAAATTAATTTTTTATCATTGCTTAATGTACACATTGTTGTTTCATCCCGCATTACCTATCTCAAAACTATGTGACATAATAATAATATTTAATGAATTATTGAAATATCAAGTTGTCTATTTTTTTGGAATATTGCACGTCAAGAACTTCTATGCATAAGTTTGAGGGATTTACCCCATGGATGCTTACCCGTCGAATGTCGCATAATCCAAATGATTCAGCCTCTAACGATAGCCTCGCTCGGTGTAGAAGACGTGTCGCACCGCGTATTGCAATATCGTTGCTTACGTTATCCAAGCCACCACGAGCGGGCAGACGCCGAGCTTGCTCCCATCATCCATCAGATCTGGTGTACTCAGCGATCAGATCGAGATACCGGCGGAACACACGTCGCCCAAACAACAAGTGTTGTGCATTCGCCCTGAAATAATTTAGTCATTAGTCATTACTGCGGTGGAGTATGTAATCGCTTGGTTATGTGAATGTCAGACATCGTCTGACAATGTATTTCACTGATTCACCCCCACCCCCCCCCGTTCATGACCTCTTCGTCTAAGTTCCTCCCTCTCTCTCCTCAGTATATAAACTACACTCACGATAGTAAGAATTCTTGCTGATCTGTAACTGTTATAGTCAGCTGATAACCAACTAAAAAATATGTAATACTATGAACATATCACACTAAAGGAGACATTGTATATCCCAGTTCGGGGTGATACTAGACGGTCCTTAACGTCGCTGTCGATGAAAAGCCTCGTAACTTGATAGGACGTTTAGACAATATGCTGCCCGACAATTGGATTGTGTTTTTAGTTTCTGGTATTTCCCAAACATGCACGTCACCGAAGTACACTGCCCTAATCAAATGACTTTCTGGTCATGATGTTTCGCACTCGGACATTAGGACGTCACGGCGTTTGAACGTGACGTATGGTGGCCTGTTACGCCTCGGGTCGCCATCCCGTGACGAAGGGAAAGTCGAGGTGTATATTTCTGTTCATACTGGTTACACGCCAGGTTGTTCCGGCGAGGCCACACCCGTAGTGCTGATGTACACGGTCCCGTTACATCGTGCTGCAGTGCTCTGCGACTGATCTTAGGTTCACACGTGTAACCACAGCAGTCGTCCTCTCTGTGAACCAAGTGAGCATTCATGCGTGTTACCAACAACTGCTTATATGCTGTCATGACTTTCAGATTCATTAAAGGTCAGCAAACGTTGGCTCTGTCATTGCTTGCTCCCCTTATGTTTGAAACATCGCGGGACAGCAGTAGAAGCTTTAGAACTTACAGTCGATCTGACATGTCTGTGTTTAACCCTTTTAACTGCAGGTGGCAGCACATGTAGTTAGGGTCTTGATTGTAGCACACATTGCTATAACGTCTTACGGCTTGCTAGTATCTCATATTACCTCTAATCTTTTATCACTATGACAATAAGCAAAGAAACCGTGTACATGTGTAGAGGGTTTTGTTGTAGTTCTATTATCAGTGTGTAGGATGTTAGTTGTTAGTAATGGACGCTAGGTGGAGCTGCACGTGCCTGCATACTGTCGTCTCTGGATTGCAGTAGTTGATTTGTAGGCACCGGTCGGGGTTGTAGCATGCGCAGATGGGGCCTGCAACAGCCAGAACAAGAAATATTACATCTATACACAATCATTATCATATAACGGCCCCCTTCACGGTCCCTTCCCCACGTCCGGTATTTCGTAATATTATCATTCTTCTCTATCTATCCCCTCAGACAGAGTATCTTTCTTCGCCTGTATGTGAGTTGGTGGCTTGCTCAGTTAACACTATGCTTGTCTGGCAGCTAGGACATGTTAATATAGTACATTTTTATTCCGACACGGACAGTGAGAATAGGTTTATATAATTTATAGTGTTGTAGGTGAGATTTGGCATTGGGTAACTTACGTCTGGGTTTGCCTTCAGCTGCACCTAGAAACACAAACAACGTTTGACGTTAGCAAACAGGGATGTACAGCGGTTCGTATGAATGCCTGTCTAGTTTCTACTGCTATAATTACATCTAACTATATAACTACTGCTAGAATTTGTTTCCATACATGGTGACGGTGTATGAATACATCTGAGTTAAGTAACTATATACAGTGCGACCTCGTTTATCCGTCCACGTCGGGACAGCCACCATGCATCCGGATATGCGATTTGGCCGGATATGCAATTTATGCTCAAACACAGAATTTCTATGCAGTTCAGTAGGGTTTATGCATGGGATAATGTATTTACTCCGTTGCTATGATTCATTTTGTAATAAAACTGTCGTGTTTTAATGGGTTTATAGAAATGGAAATAAAACTGAAATTAAAAACAGAAATGGTGAGATTCTAGTTTGAGCATGCGACCCTAAGCATACGAGTGGAATGAGCATGATGCATGATATCATATCAATAATCCCTGTGTGTGTTTGTGTGTGCTGTGTGTGCTGCGTGCGTTTGTCGCGTGCGTGGCGTGCGTGCGTGCGCTGCGTAGAAGCGCGCGCGGTGTGTGTGTGTGTGGCGTGTGCGGTGCGTGTGCGTGTGTGTGTGTGTGTGTGCGTGTGTGTTGTGTGTGCGTGCGTCGTGTGTGCGTGCGTGTGCGCGCGCGTGCTGTGTGTGCTGTGTGTGTGCGTGTGCGTGTTGCGTGTGGCGTGTGCGCTGTGGCGTGTGCGTGTGCGTGTGCGTGTGCCGTGTCCGTGTGCGTGTGCGTGGTGCCGTGTGCTGTGGCGTGTGCGCGCGCGGTGCGTGCGTGCGTGGTGCGTGCGTGCGCGCGTGTGTGCAGTGTATAATATATAGATATATATAACTGAATATATAACTTACCCAGTACAACGAGTAAGAGTGCATAGAGTGATGAGAAAGGAGAGTTGGCTGCTTCATCGTTGGAATGTAGATGAATATCTCACGCAGATGCACAGTCAGTCTATCCAGAAGTCGCCGTATCGCTTGTCGCACCGTAAACGATAAAGGCAGCTAGATTTAACCGATCTACGTATGTACGTGCGTGCGTGTGTGTGTGTGTGTGTGTGCGTGCGTGCCGAGTGTTACGAGCCGTGCGTGTCGTGGAAGCCACCTGGTTGTTTATGATCTGGGTTCCACCCGCGTTATATATATATA